TGCTATTACATGGGGGGGCTTGTAAGCCCCCCCATGTAATAGCAGTCAAAGTAAAGTAAGAAAAAAAAAAAAGTTTTTTACATTAAAATTAAATAAAATAAATCTAATAATATGAAAAAAATTTAAAAAGTCCCCCGCCCCCGTGAGCACGAGCGTCGCCACGTAAACACGCGTCGGGTGCGCCTACGTATGAAAACGACGAACGCGCTAGGGTTTTAAGTCATTTTCAGACCTAAAATGTGGAATATAACATGGGTGCAAAAAATGAAAAAAAGGCCTCAGTCATGAAGGTCAAAGCAGGCTCTCGGTATCTGAGCATTAGACGAGATATATGATTGTTACTGCAGAAAATTGCATTTCAATTAGAATTCTCATTCGTTCCCATATGGCCGGTTCACATTTATGTGCAGCAGTTTAATGTGTTTTGAAGGAACACTAAGAGGTTCTATTAGCCCAGGTTCACACCTCGGCATTTTTAAGCAGTTCAAAAAGCGCTTTTAACTGCCCGACACAAGACATCCCATGATTTTCAATGGCCCTGGTTCACACCTGAGCAGAAAAACACCTAAGAGGAAAACTCCAGACGCCTGAAAAGATACAGGAGCTTCTATGGGCAGTTAAAAGCGCTTTTCCACTCCCATAGAACTCATTGGAAAAGCCCAAAATCGTGCAACGGTAGCATGTTGCACATTTTCGTGAGCGTTTTTGCGTGTTTATACGTGCGTTCTTCCATTGCCCACAATGGTTTATGAGCTGCCAATCAAAACGCACGTCTTCATGTTCACACGTGGTTTATGAGCTGCCAATCAAAACACACGTCTTCATGTTCACACGTGGTTTATGAGCTGCCAATCAAAACACACGTCTTCATGTTCACACGTGGTTTATGAGCTGCCAATCAAAACACACGTCTTCATGTTCACACGTGGTTTATGAGCTGCCAATCAAAATGCGCATCTTCATGTTCACATGTGAAAACGTGGATACAGAAACACTATGGGCCTATTCACACCTACACGTGTTCATTACCATGGGCGGACATTGAACAGTGTAAATCCAGCCCAACACACGTTGTGGTAATTTGCATTAAAAAGTGTGTTTTAGTGCAAGTTACCTTAGGGGCACAGGTGTGAATCTAGCCCAAAGGCCCGTTCACACCTATACGTGTCTATTACTAAGGGGCATATTTACAAACAGTTTGCAGAGACATTCGCCTTTGTAAACTCTGTGAGCGTTTGTTCTGTGTGAATGGCGGCAAAAGCAATGTTCTTAGTATATTTTCTTTTCAAGTCAGATGTACTAGTAAGAAAATACATTATTATAGTCACTAGATGGAGCTGAGGAGCGTAGGAAATACTATGCTCTTCAGCTCCATCTGGTGGCTGCAGTGTGGCATTTTCCACATTTACATTCTAGCAAAAAAGAAATAATAATAATAATAGTAATAATAATAATAAAATAATAATAATGACACTCGTATTTGCCTCCATGCGCACAAAAGGAATGTACATGAAATTTCACCGGTCGAATGTAAAATGTTTATAAATACACCCCTAAAATGTATGGATCTCTTTGCCAGTAATGGCGTGAGCAAGCTAAATATCACTCCTGCGTTCCTGTATTTGCAGCCTAATCTTTATAGGAGTACATCCTATTCAATTCTTACCGTGGTGGAAAATCTGGATAGGAAACACTTAGGCCTAGATATGACGCAAAATCTAAGGCTGGAGACATGTCCCCTGTGCAGACGGAACTCAGATCTCCAAAAGAAGGTGCATAGGATATTCCATCTGTGAACAGATAACAATATATCATAATAGAGCAATTTTGGGGTAAAGCTCCCTACTAGCTTATTGTTCTGTTACAGCTATCATTGTAGGAAATATTCTGTGGGAATATTTAACACATTTACACAGGTAGGGAGCAGGAGTCATCCTGCTCCCTACCTTCATTTTGAAAATGAAGCTCAGGAAACACAACTTTTAGCTACATGATCCTCTTTATCAAAATCTCTTAGCAAATTCTAAAAGGAACACCCCCTCTCTGGGCCAAAACCTTTGCTTTAAGGCATTTAAAATGCAATCAGTTACTGAGCTACATCAAATCTGACAGAAATCCAGTATTCCCGTGTGGCTTCTTCTCTTCTTCTGCACGTCATGGCCCGCAGGTGTTGAAAATGCGTTTCTTAGGAACACGATCGGTTTCTTGTGTATCATAAAAATGATTTGTTAACTCAAAAATCTTTGTAACAATCAGTTACTGCATGTTATAGCAGTAAGCACAAAGTAAGGAGCAGATGTATAAATGTTCCGCCTATTGTAGCGGCATCCGTAACGGCATTCACGCCACTAGACGGGTATCTCTTAGGCTGGGTTCACACCTAGGCATATGGAATATGCGCGTTTGTCGCGCGTTTCATCCTACGCGCTGTAAAATGCCCAGGTGGGAACCATGCCCATAGGCAATCATTGGTTATCACATGTTGAGCATTTTACAGCGTGTAGAAAAGCGCTGTAAAACGCCCAGGTGTGAACCAGGCCTTAGTCCTTAATATTTACTGATATTCCTCAGGTAGATAAAAAAATTTTTATTAGCTCAATCTTTTTATATCATATTTGGTCATTGTGAAGGACAACAAGGATCATCTTATCTTAATTGAAGACTTTCTGCTTTAATCCAAACTGAAATCAGTTCACCTATGTTATGTTCTTCACCTTGTTCCATGTCGATCATTTATAAATGTATAATAAAATTATGATATTATATACATTTTATAACCTTTTATGTGAGAGTTACCTCTCACATATAAGGTGATACCTTAAAGGAGAACTATGGGGTAAGTGTTTTTCCCCATAGTTCTCCTAAGGGTCACGGGAGGACATAAACTAGCGACCTCCCGTGACCCAAAGCTCAGTATATGACGAGCTACAGCTCGCGGTATACTGAGACCGCCGCAGCCGGGATGGATCCCGACATTACTGTCGAGATCCACCCAGCTGCGTGAGTGACAGCTGGCTCTGCCTATCTAAAGGCAGAGCCAGCTGCACCCGCTCCTCCCCCGTCCATTCCGCCAGTCAGCGCTGGAGGATCGGAGTGGGGAGGGGGGAAATCCCTGCAGGCAGCCGTGAGTGACAGTCACGGCTCTCTGCAGGGACATGATCGAGAGGTGAGCGAGCGACGGTATGTGTTTGCTCACTTCCAGATCTATTGAGCCGACGTGTGACAGTTTCATTGTCACACGTTGGTTTGAACTATGAGGTTGAGTGGAAATCACTCACCTCATAGTTCTCCTTTAACAAATAAACATATTAGAACTTCATGGAAATTATTGTATCTCATATAATATTTAGTATATGATTGTATTTTGAATCAATCCAAAATGGAAATGTTCTTATTTGTATAAACGATTGTGATTGTTGAATGTTGGATTGTAGTAATCACATAGTCTTTAATCTCTTCCCTTATAACCAGATTTTCAATGTTTAATTTATTATCTCTGACTTATCATAGACTTAAATGGTTTATTCTTTCCATAATGCAAAATGTTTCTGTTAATCTAAACGTTTCCCCAAACATGTTCCTCTAACTCCATTATTAATATATCTTTTTTTTCACGCTGATTTTATATACATTTTTATTATTTAAAAAAGAAAGATAATAAAATTATAATTAAGATTATCTTTTTTAAAGATAATTTAGATTATTTATAAGATAAAACCAAAAAACAAAAGTAGTAAGGTGTTGTTGCCTTACTCTTCATGATGTGTTTCCATTATTTTGAAATACAAATATTATCTATGATAAATATAGAATATTGACACACAACATAAACATAAGAAAACATTCATCTTTAAAAATTGTCATATAAAAACTACCTCGGCAATGATCTGCAAGTAAGAAATTCACACCATTTAAAGGAGAACTATGGGGCCAGTGCTTTTCCCCACAGTTCTCCTAAGGGTCATGGGAGGACATAAACTAGCGTCCTCCTGTGACCCAAACCTCAGTATATCGTGAGCTACAGCTAGCCGCGGTATACTGAGTATACCGCGAGCTGCAGCCGGGACGGATCCCAACATTACTGTCGAGATCCGCCCAGCTTCGTGATTGAAAGCTGGCTCTGCCTATCTAGAGGCAGAGCCAGCTGTGCCCGCCCCCTCCCCCATCCGTTACGCCAGTCAGCGCTGGAGGATCGGAGCGGGGAGGGGGGAATCCCTGCAGGGAGCCGTGAGTGACAGTCACGGCTCTCTGCAGGGATGTGAGCGAGCGACTGTATGTGTTCGCTCACTTCCTGATCTATTGAGCCGACGTGTGACAGTTTCATTGTCACAAGTCGGCTCGAACTATAAGGATGAATGTAATTCACTTTTCGGGGTAGGTCTTACTTTCGGGGAAACACGGTATGAGGTGAGTGAAAAGCACTCGCCTCATAGTTCTCCTTTAACTAACTTGTGAGCAGCTCACCATTGTAAGCCCAGAAACTTCAATCATCTTTGCCGCAATGTATACATGTAAATATATGTAAGCACACATTTTATGAAAACCATTATACACTGCCTGTCCTTAAAAAAAGTCACCACCTGGATTTAGCTAAGCAAATAAGTATGAGCCTTCCATTGGATGATTGGTCTGGGTTTAGCAATATTATGTGTCCATAAAATGAGGTCAGCTGCCTACCTGAATACACTAAGGGCCCATAGTGCGCTCCAGTGAGCTAAGATCCTATGAGTCTTCATGTCCTATAAAGGGTATATGATGTGAGGATGCTGAGGAACATGCCGGGATCAAAGTTCGGGTGAGTATACCTTTGTTATTTCAGCTCCCTAGACAAAACAAGCACTTAATCCTTGCAGTGGGGTGGAGGGTAGAGGGGTAGACCCACTGCAAGGGTTAAGATTTTAATTGCTGGGAGTTCTTCTTTAAAGCAAGTCCTGATCAAAGGTTTTACCATAACAGACAAACAAATACACCTTGTATTGGGCCCCGGAGCACAGGGGTCCCATACCATCTGGCCTGATAACTTAGAAACAGCACTGAAAAAATATCATAAAATGAACATCTGTATTATTTGCGTACCTCTGTAGAAATACTGCGAAAGCATTTAGTACACCGCAGTGTTAGTATTTTAGATTGCAAGGGTTTAACTTCTTGGGCAGCCATTAAAAGAAATGTTTAGTGTTGTTTTTATCTTTTTTTTCTTTTCTTTTTTTTTTGGTTCATGGATAAAAATATAATTAAATTTGTATAATTTTTGTTCTGCAGTGCTTTACTAAATAACCTGCGTCATAAATAGATCTGATTAGCTGGAGATCAAATTACGCACAGCTAAGTGAATTAGAAGAGGGACACGGCCTTCCTCTTCCTTGTATGGAAGCAAAAAAGCCCTTCTTATTACTATGCCCAGGATTCTCTGCAAAGCAAGTATCCTGTATTAAATGATTTTGTTAAATAAAGCTTTTATGAATATATTTTAACATTAACAGATATAATTTTTTTAAACAAAAAAAGAAAATTGAGATCAAACTATTACAGTTTTTTTAAAAGGGCTGTCCATATAGAAAAAAATCCCCACTTTTTTTCACATATTTTGGGGGTGGGGTTCCCCCTTAAAAATCCTACCATGCCTTAAGGGCCTGGTATGTCTTTTGGGGGAACCCCACACACTTTTGTTTTCTTCTTTTTAACTTGTGATCCCTCCTAACTTTCCTACCAGAACTAAAGGGTCTGGTATGGATCAGGAGGGGGACCCTGCGCCAGTTTTTTTTGTTTTTGTTTACATTTGTAGGGCGAACGGTCTGCTTTGGCAGACCGTTGCCCCCTCTTCGGCTGTGATTTCGGCTCGGCTGAGCTATTCGGCTACCTTCGGCTGCTGTAGGGGCTATTGTTAATTCCACAGTTCCATAGTTTGCCATAAGTCTGCAGACTGTTCCTGTCCGCTTGGGAATTTTGGGTGTTACTGCCCACCTTTCTGGGTTCAAGTTTTTCCAATTGCATTCATAATGTAAAATAATTAAACAATGCAACAGGGAGAGTAAGACTCTCTCCACAGCAAGAGTGCTGACCCAGGAACTCAGCACAGCTCTCATTAAAATGTAGGCAGTTGTCAGTGACAGGGCAGCCTAGTGGGCTGCAAGGTGGAGTGGGGTAGCAATGGTAGATACTCACTTTCCAGCCGAATTGCTATGTTTTTGTGGAAACCGGTTTGTAAATAGGTGGTCTCTATAGTTGTCTCCAGCACCATTTTGGAGAAGCCTGGTGTCTGATAGGACACGAAATCTTGGGAGATTTGGTCGGCCATTTTGGGGTGGTTTGGTAGATAAGGAAAGCCCAGCCACGTTTTGGGCAGAACACGTGTGGACGTAGACAGGGACAGCTACCCAGCCTGTGAGAGAAAGTTAGGAGACTCAGGGAGAGTGTTCCGGCCTGTTAGGGATAGATCAGGGTTCCTCCGGAGTCCTGCATTGGGAATCCAAGTCGGATGAAAGACTCCCCAGTGCCTGTGGCCGAATCAGTATCACCGCTGTGAGTGCAGGAAAAGTGCATCAGGCTCATATATGCCTCCGCTGAACGAATATCGCTGTTAACGGGTAACATGTTGTAATGATCAGCCTCTACAGACAAGCATTGTGTGCTCGGGGGTATACTTGTGCCAGTAAGTGGGAAGTGTCTACAGGGCCCCTCATCCAACCACCGTGTATTAACGAATGTGACTGTATGCTATATCCGTGATCTATGTGCCTGAAGAAAAAAAAACAATTGCCCTACTGTTGTACATATCCTTCTCTGCTTCCGCCTCTCCGGCAATAAACACTATCTTGTTTATAAGACCACTAAGTGTGATTCCCTCTGTGAAGCCGCCACACCCTAACCCCGCTAACAAATAGAGTCCCCAAAAGACAGCTATTGTCAGCAGGTTTCATTCTCCAGAGTCTCCTAAACACTGAAACATGAATTCTGGGTGGACTGACCCTTTAAGATGGAGGTCATATAACTTTGCCAAACGTTCTTGAACTATGCAATATGTACATTCATTTACTCTTACATTTTCCACAAATACTTTTCTATTTAGCTTATACAATTATGGCGATAGACAAGCCATTCCTTGTGTACTGGGCTTCCTATGCCACTGAGACACTTAGAAGTCACATACCGTAGCTTGGATTTTGAAGGCGCCAGTCTCTTTCCCTCCCATCTTTCCTCAGGCTACCAATGATGATGGTGACACATGAAAGAAAGAGAACCAGTCCAATTACAATTCCTGCCACGACCAGCGGGGACACCAGCAATGTAGAATCATGGCTACTCCGCATGTAACCAAAATACTCAGGAAGAGGGTTACTTTGGTTTAGGTGAATCTCTGGAAAAACAGATTGGAAAGTTTAACACTAATGAATAAAAACAAGGATCAAAGGAACACATATGAATTTACAATTGGCAGCTACAGCCTGTAGCTTATAGACTTTATTACAGAGTATAATATGAGTAATACAGAATACAAGTGGCATGGTGTACTATACCACACTATCCAATCAGGAATCATTTTTTTTAGATTCACTATTCAAAGATGCTAAAAGGTTAATTTCTGATGAGTTGCCACAAGCTTCTGTACTTCAACCACAGCTGATGGGCCGAAAGTTGGAATACCCTTCCTATATACACTAGTGAGCAAGATCTGGCTGTCCTCAGCTATGTGTGATGGCCAGTGTTTACCTAAACATGATGGGTTGTCTTTGGCAACCATGTGAACCTATGTCTATGGTCGGAAGTTGGAGACTACTTCTTTACCATTTACCAACTCCAGAGCTCTTACACACTATAAACCCTTCGATACCCCTGTGTGTTGGAGATGTACGAACCATACTGGTAGTTTATTGCATATTTATTGGGAGTGTCCCAAGATACACGCTTTTTGGGAACGCGTTATATCTTTACTTAGATATAACCATAGCAGATGATCCTATTCACCTGCTTTTGGGCCTCCCCATGCCGCACATGGCCAAGACATGTTCCAAGCTTGTCAATCATATCTACACAGCAGCAAGATGTTTGATAGTTTTAAAATGGTCCTCCTTCTAATTTAGATCTGCTCCGGAGGATTCATGATATACACAACTTGAAATATCTCACTGCTCTGTTGAATAACTCTGTCTCCAAGTTTAAAAAGGTATGGCCTCCTTGGCGAATCCAAGATTCTCCCCCTTAATGTCTGACGTGGAATAGATGCCTGGGAACTCTTCTGTGGTAGTGAGGTACGGACTCTTTCTTTCCCTTTTTTTTCGCTCTCTCTTCTTCTCCCCCCTTTTCCTATCTTCATCATGCCCTTTCTTATTTATATCTTTGTTTTTATGATATCTGTTTGAGTGTTTGATTTCATACATTAGACACTGTTATTGCCTTCAACAAAGTTGATGATAACGCTCTCTTATGCACACTCTATTATATACATGAGCAGTGATTGACAAACGAATCTCATAACTAATATGTTGTTTTACTTGGTTACTTGCTTTGAACATGATCTCTTTGTAACAATCTGCCTTTGTTTCTCTTGTTGAAATATTTAATAAAAAGAAAGTTATAAAAAAAAAAGAAGCTGGAGACTGTAGCAGGCCTTAGCCCATGGAATTTCATGGTGGCCCATAGACATTAGATCGATGTGTGATCTGGCCAGTTGAGACACTGTTATTAAATGCACGGAGGTCTACTTACCAGGTAGAGAGAACCTCAACTGTGGCCCCTGATTCAAAAAATAGGCCACAGGTATTATTCTGCATATGTAACACTACAGAATACCGACAAAGACATGCTACAGGTCTGGTTAGAAGGTAGAGACAAGCTTCAGGGTACATTCAGAGGCTGCACATGTTACATTAGACTTCTAGAGTTCACTGAGATTACAGCCCCTTTACAAATTAATACTTCCACTCACTTCTGACTGCTGGGTTTTGAGGGCTACACAACCAGGACCAAATGGCTGCAAATTGGCCACCAGGGATGTAATGTCTATACCCAGCCTAAGATTACTTGTCAAAAAATTAGATGCCAGCAGCAGAATTACAAGTCTGCTCTGCATGCGTCAAGCCTGTGATATATATACGGCCATTATACAGCGAACACTTTAGAAGTGTAAAGATTGTGCCGTCTGAGCTACAAAACGTATCTGTCAGACGTTTGACTGACAGGCTCTCGGAGATTGCAAAGAGCTCTGAAAGTACAATTTAGATGGGAGGTTATTGTGTAAGACAATGGAGGTATTTAATTGTTGCCTCTGGCACTGTGATAACCCTTATGTCCTTTTTTGCTTTTCATTTGATGGGTTAGCATTGCTGGAAAGGTATCCACTAAGCTCTTTCCTTTTAGGAGATTACAGAGCGGGGTCCTAAGTTCAATGCAGCCCATCAAGCATACTTTCTGCACTGATTTTGTATTTTTATGTGTATATGTATAGGAGGGTTTCCACTGGATGCTCTGGTTTTCTCCTGTGATCCAACCCCATACTGAGGTGGGGGTTATCTTTCAGCAAATTGGCTGGAACATACGTTTAAATGTTGGAATGTACTAGAGGGTGTTACATAAGAGGAGGATGGTTGCAGTGCTGCAGGGTGATCAAGGACAATGTTGTTTGGGTTTTAATGAGTGCGGAATTCTTCAGTGTAGATTTTGTATTCATTCTCCACACATAAGAACTGAAGGTATGTGCTATAATAAACATAAAACTAAATTATAAAGGGGAAACCTTAAATTGATGTTTCTGTTTTACTTACTCTTTGTTCCTTTTTCCTATAAGTGGGCCTTGCTGCATGTTTATCCTATAGCTGATGGCAGATATGAAACAACCACATTAATTTAGCTTTGTAATCATTATTACCTCCTTAAAAGTATATAGGGGTCTATTCACGAAGCTGCCAAAGGATCTGACTGCTCTGCGGCATTCGGCTATTCACTGGCTGCTGTTTGGGATCTTTAAGAATAGCCCGAACAGCAGTGAGTAGTTCACTCGGCTGCCTACGGCAGCTTAGTGAATAGACCCCATAGTAGTTCAAGCAATGCAAGTACCTGAATTTGGCTTGGTATCCACCTTTTGCTGTGCCCTGTCCAGCAGAGCTCAGAATGGAAGAGAGAGAAGCATCTTAAGGAGCCAATCGGTTGTGCTGTAGTGCAAGATGCATTCTAATAGGAGGACAGAGCAGAGTGACACAGAGATGAGTTCATCAATGTGCTGCTTTTTCCTCACACTATCTAGTCACAGACTGATGGTGGGGAGGATACCTATAAGTGTTTCTTAAAAGGAGTTGTAAAGGCCCATCATATGCTATCCTGCTATGACATCAGCACTGTGATAGGAATAAATACTAGAGTTGTTCTTGATAATGCAATCAAAGCATTTAGTGAGTGCTGCCTTCTGTTTAAAGCTTACTTAAAATAATCCCTTTTGTGTAGTGAATGCAGTGAAGCCTGCCCATCAATTTCTACAACTTCCTGGATTCCCAGTGTGCTTTGCTTGATGTGATGCAATCTCAATTTCTGACGACTACATAGCCCATCATGCATTGCTTTCAGCAGGCAATGATAATGTTACATTGTTCAGACATTGAGTTGTAGTTCAGACTGCAGGCTCAGTTAGAGTGATAACACAAGGAAGTGTGTATTCACAGGGCCAGGGCCGGATTTCCCACAAGGCCAACTAAGGCCCGGCCTCGGGGCAGCAGGGAGTAGAGGGGCAGCAGGGGTGTGGAATTCCTATCTCCCGATGCCCGGGACATGCAGTTCCTAGTGCTGGGCGGGTAGTTGTTTGATAATTTAGCCCTGCTTTGGGCAAGCAGAGCTAAATGTACAGCAGGGAAGTTGCCGCTTGTTTTGTACAAGTGATCTCATGGAGATCACTTGTATGCAGCCTGCAGGTCTGCCATTCTCCATTGCGGGGCAGGTAGGGGGAGGGTTGGGGGGAAGGGGGGGACGGGCGCATTGAGGAACCTTGGGGCAGCAGGGAGAGAGAATGAGGCGCTGCACATGGCAGAGTGAAATGGTGTCAG